AGTGGGAATGTGTCAAGTGGTGGTGGTGGTGGTGGTGGTGGAGGAGGAGGAGGAGGGCTCTGAGTTGGATGGGCGGGAGGGGCTGGAGAGCGAGAAGGAGCAGGAGCAGGGGGAGGGCGGCTTTGGATTGGGTGGCAGCGACGATGACGACAGCTTGCTGGCAGGCTTGCGGTCATCGGGGGACGAGGGCACCGAGGATGGCGGCGGTGGCAGTGGGGAAGAGGTGGCCAGCGGCAGTTGCGAGGAGGAGGAGGAGGAGGAGGAGGAGGAGGGGTCTGCGGCGGATGGAAGAAGAGCGGCGGCGGCGGCAGCGCGTGCTCGCCAGCGGTGGCGGCGGGCGCGCAGCTCGAGCGAAGAAGACGGCGAGGAGGAGGAGGATGGCAGCGAGGAGGGCTCAGAGGAGGAGGAGGAGGAGGACGCTTTAGCAAGTGGGCCCAGCGGCAGCGAAGGTGGAGCGGGCAGCAGCGATGAGGACGAGCAGCAGCAGCAGGCGCAGCCGCCGCCGGCAGCAGCGGGCCGATACGTGCCGCCCGCCGCGCGGCGAGCAGCGGCGGCGGCTGCCAGCAATGGCGGCGACGAGGCCGCCGCACGTGTGGAGCGGCGTGTGAGGGGTCTGCTGAACCGCCTGGCTGAGGCCAACGTGCAAGGGATAGTCAGGTGCACCCTCCGGTGCACCGGTGGGGGACGTGGCCTGCGCTGGACACTTGCTGTTGTGCCAGCGGCGTGTGCCATCCAGCCCTGCTGGCCTGCCCGATGCCTGCCCGGCCCTCCTGTGCGCCACCATGCCTGCCATGTTGATGCCCCTTCCCTGCCATGCTTCCCTGCCATGCCCTGTGCTGTGCTGTGCTGTGCCGTGCCGTGCAGCGACCTGGCAGCGTTGTATGGGCAGGAGGGACGCCGCCTCGTCAGCGACGCCGTGTGCGGCGAGCTGATTGCGGCGGCGGCAGAGGGGCCCCGCGCCTCGGACCGCTTCGCCGCCGTCTCCGCCGCCGCGGTGGCGGGGCTGGCGGGCAGCGTGCGGGCGGCAGAGGTGGTGGCCAACTTTCTGGACAGGCGCGGCGCGGGGCCTGCCTGCCACCTTGCCTTGCACTGTGGCTGCCGGGCCGCTGCAGCCGTGCCAGCTAGCCTGGCAGGCAGACGCCCCGCCAGCCATGGGCT